GGGAGGGTTGCCTGGGAGGGGATAGAGTTGTTATAGTCTGGTTGGGGCGGAGGAGCAGGTAAAAAACTCCCACATCAGCTTCAACTGCCCTCTAAAAATAGGCTGCAATAAATGGAGCCAAGAGAATTCCCCAGCCCAGCTGCTGGAGCCCTCCAGACAGGCTCCAACAGCCTCACAACCCAATTCACCAAGAATTTTAGGCACTTCTCCAGGCCCAGGGCCTCGTCAGTATGGTCTTGGAGACGCTGTTCCAACTGGGATTTAGAAGAAGGGGGTTGAATTTCCCTGTTAGCATTTGGAACACCAGAGGATGGAGTCCCTGGAAACCAAATGCCTCTACCTCTTTTGTCTTGTTTTATCTTCGTGCAAAGTGTGCCTCTTACTTCTGCTCAGTTAACTGTCTCACAGATTAATAATTTATCAGATCATGAGGTGAGTGAGAAAAGTTCCAGCCTGAAGAAGCAGAGAAAGCCAGTTTTTCTGCTGAAACAACTAGACTGGGAAAAATTCGTATATGCATCATCTGGGCAAATTGCTTAGCCTTCTGAGTCTTGGTTTCCTTAACCCTGGGTAATTCACCTTGCTGTTTAATTTAATTTAGCAAGTATTTATAGTGCTTGCTCTGTGCCTGTATTCTGAGGCCTGAGTGGGGAGATACTGCTGTGACAACTATCCCCCAGTATGATGTCATGATAGTTTGGAGGAAGGAGCCTATAACTTTGCCCCATGAGAGGCTCCAAAGATAAAGGGACATTTGGGCTGGGCCTTGAGGGATGAGTAGGAGCCCATGTATGAGGTTGTAAGATACAAAACAAAACAAAACAAAACAAAACAAAACACCCCATGAAAATGTTTAGTCTCACTGTGTTGTCCTGTGTTTCAGTCCTGAGTTGCTTGCCTTGGCCCATTTCACAAGCCACAGCCCGACTTCATCCCCTCTCCCAGCTCCTGACAGCTTCCTGTCTTCTCAGTCTCCATGTGGCACTCTCCCAAAGGCCAACCTTTGCAGTCCCTCTCCCAGAACTGTCAGGATGAAGGCCAGCCCCTCCACATGGCTGACCAAGCAGGCTGGTTCACCTCTCCAGCCCTTGCCCTTCATCATGTCCCCTTCATGCATGCCACATACCCAGCAATACTAAATTTCCTTCAGACCCCTACACTCCCCACTATGCCGGGGATTTCAGCTTTCAATGTCACTTTTCCCAGAAAACCACCCCAACCGGCCCCTAGCTCCCATTAGAAATTCCTCTTTTACATATACTCTCAGGTTACTCTGCACCTGCTCTCTCATCACAACTATGAGCTGCACTGGCCCTGCCAGGTGAGGTGGGCCTGTGTCCATCTGTGTAGTTCCTCATGCCTACTAAGAGGCCAGGGACACAGAGGTGCCCAGCAGTTGACTAAATCTAAGGTTGGCAAGCCAAGGCCTGAGAGCCAAATTCAGCCCACTGCCTGCTTTCTTAAATAAAATTTTATTGGAACAGAGTCACACACATTCACTTACATATCGTCTGTGGATACTTTTGTGCTACAACAACAGAACTGAACAGTTGCAATAGAGACGCATGGCCTCTGTCTAGCTCTCCACAGAAAAATTTTGCTAACTCTGAAATAAATGAAGCTCCCCTGAATTAGTTTCACGTTGGCTCCAGCTATCCCAGTGAATGCCCTATTCTTTCAGCTTGATCCCCGGTGCCCTGGCTCAGGCCCCATGGACAAGATCTGGAAAGAGTAGAATCTGAACATCATGGGGAAGCTGGTGATGAAAACAACAGGGCCGGGCCAGGTGACCCTCAGACAAGATGACCACAAGATGGGGTGATTCACTGTTAGGCACGAATCCTACAAATCTAGCTACCCACGTGCGTGAAGACTTAGATCTGAGTATGGTAGCTGTTTGTAACAGCAGAACGCAAAGGAGGAAATGCAACGTTCCTCAATGGGACTGGTTATGTAAAAAGTGGCACACCCATCAGTGGAGTCCTGTGTTAAAAAGGTGGCAGCAGCATCATACACACTTATAGGAAAAGACCTGAGACACGACACTGACATAAAAAGCCCAGGAAAATGTGAAATGGATTTACAATATATAGAACACTAGTGTGCTTATATAGGATAATATAAGCATAGACTATTTCTTAAAAGAGACCCAAGAAGACCGGCGGAGTGGCGCATTGGTTAAGAGTTGGCTTGGGAGCGTGAGCTCTGAGCAGCAGGGTCCCGGTTTGGATCCCACATGAGGGCCAGTGACCCTGCACCCTCTACAGCTAAGATGGTGAACAACAGCTCGACCTGGAGCTGGGCTGCCGCGAGTCGCCAGCAACAGTGTAGGCTGCAGTGGGGCTGGCCGGCAGCAGGCGTGAGCTTTCCTGAACTGCCATGAGCCGCTGTGAGCAGCCGGCCAACGGCCGGGGAGCGACTGCCTCACCTGGGAAGAGCGCAATGATCACAATACCAACATGGGACAGTGAAACGATGTCCTCCACAACCAGACTGAAGAACAAAAGGACAGCAACTTGTCTGTTCCCCTTCCCGGATTCCCCCAACGCTGTTCCCCTCCCCCAATTCCCCAATAAAATCTTTAAAAACAAACAAACAAACAAAAAAAGAAGCCCAAGAAACAGGCACCAGTGGTTGCCTCTGAGAAGGGAAACTGGGGGTTCCAGAGATTCCTGGAGATGGGCCTCTGCCCTCTAAGCTGGAGATCTAGTTGGGGCAGGGGAGGGAAGGAGGAAGGCTTTTCACTCTCTGCCCTTACATAGTTTTCAAAATTTTAAAGAAGTGTTTATTACGTTGAGGAAAAAAAAGGCCAGTGAAATAAAGAAATCAATAAAGGACATGGTAATCCAAGGGACTGGAGGTCTTCTAGCATCTTCTAGGAGACTCTGAAGCCCACCAGAGCCATACCACAAAGGCACCAATTCCAGACTGTACTTAAGCTGCCTCTCTGGCCACTCTAGGTTCCTTGGCTTTTGAGCAGGCTGTGTCTTACTGATAGCCATGAAAATCAATTGGAGTTGCATTATAGCCCATTCTAGCTTCCCTCTCAAGTGCCAGTCATTAATATGTTACTCTTCATAACACTGAAACAAATGTCCCTATATCACAACCAGAATGCTGTCTAGGAGGAAGCTCTGTGATCATCCCTCCAGCCCAACCCCTCGTTTTACAAACTGAGGCCCAGAGAGATGAAGGGATGAGCCCAGGGGTAAGTGGCCAGGTGCTAGAAGCACTGACACTAGCCCAGGAGAGCTGCTTCCCAGGCCACAGATCCTCACTGCTGGGATGGTGCAGCA